TTACGGGTAAATCAATATCTCAGGAACCACGGAGTCTAGGAGGCTGAAATTTTAGAGTAATGACCCACTGCCCACACCCAACTCTGCCCATTCAAATTCAGCGTTCCCGCGCTCTCTCGGGTATCATCTACGGGCTAGTGAAAGTTTTTACGGGTAAATTATTATCTCGGGAACCACGGGGTCTAGGAAGCTGAAATTTTAGGGTAATAACTCCCTGCCCACGCTCAACCTTGCCTATTCAAATTCAGCGTTTCCTCGCTGTTGAGTATCATCTGCGGCCTCGTGAGAATTTTGGCGGCTAGTCTATTAACCAGGGAATCACGGAAAGATATTCACCCTTCGAGGTTTCGAATTCAGCTTTCATACGCTGGTGCGTGGAATTTTTAACTATTTTCCAATTTTTGAACTATTTTTGCATAGACAAAAGTACAAAGCAGTGAAAATCATTAATAGGCAGTCGTTCGATGGGCTGAATTGCACAAAACGCATGATCGCACCAGCTAGTCTGGTGCGCGTTGCTATTTATTATTATTACCTACTTTCTTGGGCGGTCACAACGCCATCCCACACACGCTCATCCCGAATGTAAATGGACTTTAATGCTTCCCTCTAGAAGCTGCTAAAAATGTGTCATAATTCCTTTTGCATTTTACTTGCCATGATGAATGAAGAACAAAGTTCGGTCACCCATAACCGTACTTTGTTAAGAACAGTTTTCAGAAACGGCAACAAACCTGCCAAGCCAGAAAGCAAAGACAGGTTTTGTGATGAGCTTCTGCTTCACCATGCTGTTGAATACAGGACTCAGGCCAACCACAGGGATTTCTGGAAATGCCATACCCAGGATTCCATCGTATTTTGCTGTAACGAACGCCATGCCCGGCTCCGAAATAGCTTCCGCAAACGACTGACCCTTGATACATATTCCCGCGAACTGTATTTACAAAACATTAAAAAAACAAGAACTAAGGTAGACATGCAAGATTATACGCAAGGTATGAAGGAAGCAGAATCTTTAATAATAAATATAACTTTTTTTGAAGAATTTCATCCCCACACTGCTGAATTTTTAGAAACCTCCATTCATCAACCGCATTTCGGTATAATCTTTGCCAAAGTGCTTCTCTATGGAGAACCACTGAGTTAGTGAACTTTTCAAGAGATGAAATTAACGTAAAGATTGCCAACAAACTGACCATCAAGCGATACACATTGGCCCAAGCAACTGAAGTTCCTACTTTCATAGCTAGACAACAGCACGCTACAAAGTGCAGATTACACACAATACGTACTAAGCCTGTACCAGGGCTTGTCAATCAGCCGCCCTTAGTAAAATTCACATTATAGAAGTTGTGAAATAGAGTAACAGATTAATAAGCGAATAACTGCTTACGCAGACAGTGTCCAGTGAAATGTATCCCTCCATCGAGCCCTTCCCATATAGTATTTGTATTTTTCTTCCGTCTGGCTTGTAAGTTTTTGATGCTGTCGCCCTGTACTTGTTATGAAGCACTGCAAATTCGTATAATAGCTGCATAACAACTGCTTTCTGTGGTAATCCAAAGAAATATTATTTCATGCCAAAGTTTTTTGTGTGCCGTGAAATAACGCCAAAACTGGATTCCGAATAAATCTTTTGTCCTATAGCTAGCTAGGCAATTACCCTTGCAGCATACAGTACGCTAAAAAGGCACTGTGCTTTTTAAGCGCATAAAATTACGCACTATAAGTCACTGGTAAAGTGACTAACAGTCTGACTCAAGCAGTGATCATGTGGGGCGATAGTGAGGTAAGGAGCGTTTGGCGTTAGCAACTTATGGCAACCGGTCACATTTCGTATATAACGTTCAGACTACAAGCTAAAATTCCGGTTTATTCTAGAAATGGTTGAACGAAAGAGTTACTATTTGTCGAAGGAAGAAAGATTTGCATCAAATTTTGGTCTAATTTTTTTAGCAAATTGGCGAATCCGAGATCCTTAAAATTAGAAACATTTCACATTATTGGGATATAATCACACGCTAAGCGTAACTATAAGATTTATTTACCCATCAAACATAGTACTAGGTCTTGCAAATTTAACACTTAGTATTTATGAATTTGCGCAAAAATTCTTGAAAGTACTGATACCTTGGCTTAGGATAAGCGATGTAGACGGTATAAGCCATAGAGAAGAGTTGCCTTATTGCAGGAATGAATGGCGGCAGATGGACAGAGCGGATTACCGGATGGTGCCCATGCCATATAACAAAAAGGAAAAAAAAACACAAGAAAAGCTGTCGGCGCCGTGATGAATTCGCTTGAACGAATGCGTAGAGCGAGAAATTAATAATGGAGAAGTTGCTGGTTGCATTAATGACAAGAAGAAAGGGAACGATGCAATCACAAATGAGTAACGGCTAAGTCTGTATAAAACTTATTCGACGACCACTCCACATGAATTTTCAGAAAGTTAAAGTACTACAAAAGCAGAAAGGTATTTGTTAAAGCATACTGCAAGCGATATTGAGCAGAGGGCAATTCACAGAAGGGACCCACAAGATTGATGAGCCGGTATCGAATACAACCGTGAAGTTTTGTGCTGGCGTGCCAATCGAAATTTCACCGTAATACTGTGCCTAAAGCTGACTTTTAAAAATAGTGAAAAATTCAAAACGCTGTAAATCAAACTCGAAATGTGAAACCATACATTTCAGATTAATTTTTGGTTTTCCACCCTCACTTCAACACAGAAGTTTCGAGAACCTCTGAAATCTTCCGGCTTTCCTGAGTTTTGTGGAGTAATGGAACTACTTTAAAGCATACTAGCAAAGAATTTGACTTACATCCATGTAGTTTTTCAATATTTCGTTTATCTCACTTTGCAAATCTACTCCTGTCAAATTTGAATTCGATTTGTCAAAATAACGCAACAGTTTTTTCTGATAGTGGATTTGGAGTTGTTCTCCATATGCCTGCAGCGAGCCTACTTTTGCGAGACGAGAACGAAGTGATTCATGCTTGTGGAGTGGCACTCTGAAATCTGTCGTGGTATCAGTAAAATTTTTGTCTGTACTACATGCAGTTGTTTATTTTTACTTTTATTTTAAACACATGCTAAAACCCAAAAATGCCTTAGCCCAGAATCTTCTCCGTGTTTTTGTGTACAACACTGCTTGAACAACATTTCAACTGTTGAACTGTGGAATATTGCTGGCTCAGTGGAAGTTGTATTTAATCGTGTATTTCCGGGATCGCTTAATGATAAAAAAAATTTTAATGTATTTCTTCAGCTCTTTAGACAATGACACTCTCTGTCCCAGAAAAAAAAGCATTAGCCATATTTAGCGCCTTTTCCCAGTATACCGTTTCTTTGCATCGTCGCTTATTATTATTATTTAATTTAAGCAGTTTTCAAGTTACTGCTCCAGAACTAACGCAGTTTCGCACTTTCCAGTTAAGTTTAGTTTTCTTTTTTTTCGTTCAAATTTCCTCTGTGTCGTCGTGTTCGTTTTGACTACTAACGTCAACAACATTATCATCACATCATTCTCATCGATATCACCATT